AAAACACACTTAAGGGTTTAACTTCTACTAGAAAATCGGCAAAGTTTCCCCTATAAAACGGACATTTCCCAATAAATTACCACCCGTAAAAATATGCAATCAAGAATAATGTCAATCATTTAGCATGCATTAGACAAATAAATCTGAATGGCATCATGCCTCTTTATATGACATAAATCATTCAACCATCTGAATCTGGTCTCAACTCTCAAAACAACATGGATACATTATCAATTTCCAATATGACCTTACTGAACAAATTTTCAACACTTGATCTTGCGGCTGCACCTAGTAACTCTAGGTTGCCTACGCACCCTTACCAAGGGATCAAGCCACACGTAGTTCTTTATACAAGAAAACAAAATTCAACCCATATGTAAGCACATGAATTAAATATTCCTCCACACTTTCCTAAAACCAAAAGCTTCAACTCTAATCAATCCGTTGAAACTTAAGCAAAAGATATTGATTTCCGAAGAATCTTCCACCCATCACATATGTGCATATACAAATACATACATATATATATATATATATATATAATAGCTCATTACAGATAAGTAGGAAAACGAGATAATTATTAAAATAACATTGGCCACGTGAAATCTTAATATCAATATCAACGGTTTGAATAAAACATGCTTCCATCTTTCACATGTAAAAACAAACTCATCAAATAGTTGTGAATTGTATAAAATTCTTGAAACTTAGAAAACTCTCAATCCTTGTCTCATAACTCTGAAAACATGTATTAGAACTTTCACCAATAAGTACCAAGATAAAATCATCAATTTTAGTTTAAAACATCTCAAAACTCAAATACTCTCCACCTAGGCGTATCCCCATTTATAATTTGTCAATTCCAATAATATTCCGTCAATTGCAAGTACCATGTATGTTACATCCTCGCAGAACTCGGGGGACGTGTGGTCAATCCGAGAATGCATATCCTCGCAGAACTCGGGGGACATGTAGTTAGCCCGAGAAAGCGTATCCTCGCTGAACTCGGGGGACACGTAGTCAGCCCGAGAATGCGTCTCCTCGCAGGACTTAGAAAAATATAATCAACCTGAGAATGCAAATCCTCGCACCATACGATTCAAACGTCCCCGAGACTTATGAGGCATTGTCATAAATAACTAGACTGTTCTTAAGGTAACTAGGGGGTACTCCTATGGTGGGTTTGAAAACAATTTTCCGAAGCTTATCATAGAATTCCTCTTTTTCCACAAATCCACTTTCACAAATGCATTTTTCGAATCCTTTCTCAATTTTCCAAAAATAAGTTCTTAAATAGTTAACAAAAAATCCCTTTTTAAAATGAGATCAATTCCAACATTCCTTAACTTGAATTTGACCATGCGTAATCTTTCAAAACTGTTCTCAAACTACATCCAAATATGTACAACATACTATTGAGAAAACTAGTATCCATAATTCATCGGTTTCAAGCCACTGAGCATATATTTATATGTAGACATATAATCAAGCATTTAATTAATTCCTTAATCATGCCAAAACCCGGTTATCCAAACCATTCCTAACTCCACACAATTTTACATAATATAACATGATTGGAAAGTAAAAGTGATTGCAACATAATTCATAAACATTAAATAAACTTGCATAGCATAAAACCATTTAAAAACAAACCTCCAATCACAATTACAATTACTAAATGGCCTCAATAGAGCCGACATCATGAGAGCGCAGGTGTGCTCGGATTCCAATTCGGATACCGTTAGAACTTCAAACGGATTTCGCCTATTATGCGATTTCCGGGTTCTATATGTTCGGACCGTTGGATCGAAATCAAACTCACGTATGTTGTACCTTGTATTTCTAGGATCACATAGGATTTGACGGATCGTGAATCGAAGTTCCGGATACTCCAAAATCGCGAACCCTAGGGTTAAATAATTGATAACCGTCCGATCTAGAGATCGTGATTAATTCGACCGTTTGATTTGGACCAAACTTGTAGAGAATAGTTATTAGGATGTGTAAAACCTATAGGAACTCTCGGATTGACAATTGGTTGTCTTGGCACCCACGGGGTCCCAGGTTGACCACTATGGAAATCTATCGCTTATCTAGACTCAGATCTTTTCAGACCATTATAATCATTGGAAATGGCTTAAATGGGCATAGGAATGGTCTTAAACTAGGTGCACGTACTTTTAGAAGCAGGGGGTCAGGGTTTTGGATTAAATAATTCTGTTGAGCTACTTTATTAATTAAATATGGCTTAAATGTTAAAATAGTCCCTGTGTTTTATTATTTTGGTCAATTTAATCCCTGTGTTTTTAATTTGGCCAATTCCATCCCTGTGTTTAGGACCGTTAGCCAATGTGATCCAATCCGTTAAATTTATGTTTAAAAAATTTAAAAACTGTTTAAATATTAATATAAAAAATAGATATATTTGAATTCAATTTAAAAATGGATAATTAAATAAGATCTAAAATTTTGGTATGGGCTTTTAGTCCCCTTGTTACAAAAAACATAATAATAATAAAATCTAAAACTAAAAGAAATTAAAATCAAAGGATGATACCACCATCCAATCTAAGCCCCTACCCCCACCGCCCTTCTTTCTTCTCTCTTTCTCCCAACAACAACCCACCCAGCTACTTTCCGCAGCCAGACCCAAAGGCCCTAACTCCCCTACACACACCCACCTCCTGAACAAGAATCCTTCCCACCCCTGAGCTCTCTCTCTCTCTCTCTCTCTCTCTCTCTCTCTCTCAAACAACCCCTACCGCCCGACCATGTCCCAACAAGATCTTCCCCAACCCCACCATTCCCTGGCCATTTGTCCCATCCCTAGCCGCGCCGCTAGGATCCTCTAGCCCACTCTGGTCGTCGCCCCCACTTCCCCACCTCCTCCTCCCCCCCCACCCCCTCTCCCAATCGCCGAGCAGCCTCTCCCCCCTCCTTGATTATGCCCATCCTGTTTTTTTTTCTTTCCTAATGTTATGTTTTGGTTTTAATGAAGTTTCAATATATTTTTGAATTAATTAAAATTTTAAAATCAATTTCAAATAAGTTTATAGGTTTTCAATCCAAAAAAAAATCATTTATGTTTATTTAACCGCAATTTTAACAGAATGAACCACATTGGCTAATGGTCCTAAACACAGGGACCAAATTGGCCAAATTGAAAACACAGGGATTAAATTGACCAACATGATAAAACACAAGGACTATTTTAGCGTAATGGCTTAACTAGGTACTCAGGCACTAGCTGACCCGCGAGAGGGACCCTCAAAAGGTCCAGCGAGCTTGGACACTTAGTGATTGGAATTTTGTTTTATAAATGATTTTATGCAATTAATTTTCATTATTTGATCTTGAATAAGTTATTATTTACTATGGCTTTCCAAGCATGCTTAATTGGATTTAAATAGTTTATTTATATGTTGCTATGTTGGAAATGCAAAGGGCTTGGAAAGTAGGAAATTAGGTGATTACCGGATTAAATGGTTTGATGAGAAATAAAATTATAGTTTTTCCATGAATGGCAACAGGATTTAAGGATGATTGAGAAATAGTTTTATAACTTTTAATCTTTTTCAGAAAATTTATTTATTTTAAAAACCACCATAGTTACCCAAGGTTGCCTTCAGATTAAATGTTGCCTTTGGAATGAATGTTGCCTACGGAATAAATTGTTGCCTTCGGATATGACGATGTCCACGGACATCCTAGTTGCCTTTGGTTGAGTCAGTGCATGTTTGATAATGCCCCCCACAAGTTTCGAGGACGTCGGGACCATGTGGAGCGAGGAATGTGGATCATGTTGACTAAATGTCCCCTGAATCCTGCGAGGATTGTGGCTTGAGTTATTTTCTGTTTCTGAGGCTTGCAAGGAAGGAATTGACGAAAATATCATCCTAGTTGCCTTTGGTTGAGTCAGTGCACGTTTTATAAGCCTTAACTGTATTATAATCATACATAGTTATATTAAATGTAAATTACTTAAAAATACATATCTCAATCTTGCGGTCGGGTTTGGGAATGAGGATAACAATATCATCTTGGTCCGTACCTGACAAAGGATTTTTAAAATTCGGGATACCCTTACCCGCTCTAAACACCCAACAGGCCCGACCCATAGGGTGTGAGGGATGAGCAACGGCACAGGGCTCCTACACACCTTTTGGGCAGTAAGTGTACTAGCAAAAAAAGGCCTTTTATGTGTGAAACTAATGCTTTTTGTGCTTTATTTTGAACTTTTTTGGGCCTTTTTCTTTATCTTTCATATAATGAGCTTTTTTTCTTTTTTTTTCTTTTTTTTTTTATACTTAAACTAACCTACTTACGATGTAAGTTCGAAACTTTTTTTTATTATAATTCTTGTTCAAAATGAGGTAAGTGTTAAACAAAAAAGGCCTTATTTTTCATTTTTGCCCGAGGCCTCCAAAATCAATGAACTAGCCCTGACACCCGACAAGAATTTTTACCATTCCTAGAATGGCAAAAAAAATTTACTTGGGGATAACACTGTTTTGCTTTGCTATCCCCGAACATTAACACAATGACATGTGAAAAAGTTATTCTACGTGTCATTACATTATTGGTCGGGATAGCAAAAAGTGTTATCCCACTGCATGAGAGTTTCTATCCTAAGGGCCCGTTTGGTAGGCAAGATTGGACTGGACTGGACTGGATGTATTAGACTAGACTAGATTGGTTAGGATATGACTGGATTTTAAGCAGTTGTTTGGTGCAATAAATACCAAGTTGAGATTGTAGGACTGGAACAAAAATAGCAAAATTAAAAAAATAAATACAAATAAATTTATAAAAATTATAATAATGAATACAATTCTAAAAAAATATTTGAATTACAGGACTGTGACCCAAACTCTAGAGAAATATCAATTGGGTGTCTCCTTCGTGGTTCCAAAAAGATCCCCAAATCTTGGTGAAATTTCATAACTTGCCATTGAAACCCAATCTGGGAATCAAAATTGCCTCTTATTGATGGTGATCCATCAAAAGAGCTCTCCCTTGTCTTCCACCAAAACTGTGTCATAATCAGAAACAAAGGGGTGGCTTAGAAGCATCTCAACCGTCCACGGCTTACTCAGGTCCTTCGCAAAACACTTCCCTAGAAAATCTTTTCCTTCTTCACACAAGTCCTCTGGAATTTGCACCAACTCATCAAGAGCTTGAAAATATTCATACAAAGGCTATGATCCCATATCGATTTTCCACCCGCCATCTCCGCAACCAAACACCCATGAGCTGTTGATGCTCTTGTTGAGAGGTCAACTTAAAGAAAATGTGATAGTCTTCAGTAGGGGGAGAAGGTGAGGACCTTCGGCAAGGGAATAGCCTGCATAAGACAAAATAGGAGAAGCAATCGTCAAGCTTCAAACACAGGTGTGGTGCCGGCCGAAGACTCTCCGATGCTTAAGTCAGCTATGAGTGGTAAAATTGGTAGAGTAACAGTAAAAGTGAGAGAGTAGTTACCCTTTTTACTTGGGTACTGTTCCCTATTTATAAGGAGGTGAAAGTGGGAGGTTTGCACAAAGCTTCGATGTGGGACTTTGTGCAACTCGTTGTGGTGGTGACACGTGTCTTGGAGATTAGGTTCGGCAGTCGATACCTTGGACAGTCGGGAGCTTCGGCAGGTATCTGGCACCTTAGAGGAGTGTCTTCCTTCGATAAGGGACTAGTCGCTTTGAGGCTGGATATGCTCGGTTGATTATAGTGTAAACAAGAGCCAAACAAGCAAGAATCGCAAGGCTCCCTCATAAGATCTCAAGAACAAGGCCTCCTTTAAATCAGATCTCAAGTTTTGCTGGACCGACTGGAAGATGCGAAGATATGGCGAAGGGGAAGAGAGAGAGAGAGAGAGAGAGGAGAGAGAGAGAGAGAGAGAGAGAGATGAGAATAGGAGGCAGCAAAATAAACCAGAGCAAGTTCTCGCAAATCAGTGAATAAGGAAGCGTGGCTGGTTTCGAAACCCATGCCTAGCGATGGATTCTGGAGACGGTGTTATTATGGATTGGTGTCCAATAATTACATCTAGTCAATGATGCATTTTACGCTCACCAAACAATAGTCAGGACCCATGTCCATTTTAAATGAAAAAATCATCTTCAGTTCAGCTCACCAAACAGGGCCAATGGGGCCTGGAGGATGTAAGTCTAAAAGTGGTACACCAGCATAAATCTTTGAATCAGTGGTATGTTGGTAATTTCTGGTGCATACATGTCAATTACGGCGTTAAAGCGAGTTGCAACTGTGGCTGCTACAAGCTCACTGTCTGGGTTCGGAAACTAGAGGGGTTTCGAAACTATGGCTGAACCCAAATAAACCCCAAATCCTCATTCCTCGTGCCAAAGCCCTCGAATTGAAAGAACCGTCCTCCTCCTCCAAAACCCTAGTTCTTCTTGATGATAATATGTTTTTTTCTCTGAGAAATTTATCCAAATCTAGGGCCAGCACCAACTACCACTATGTCTTCTCCTTACTCAATGCCAATGGTTTTGTAAGCTCCGGTCCCTGCTCACCTTCTTCTTTCTGCTTTGGCCCTAGTGCTGCGTTTTCAACGACATCAACCGCCTGCTTGATCCAAGCCAAGGACGTCGTCCTCTCTTTCAAAGAATGGTTCAAGAGCCGCAACGACGCGTTGCTCGACCACATCTTCCAGATCCTCAAGACCACCGGAGACGACAACACCGTCCTCGACCTCGACAACTCCAACGACGTGTCGTTTCACTATCACCACCGCTCCTCCGCCGACTTGGCGCTTGCCCATCTGAACCTCCGCCTCTCTGAGACCTTCGTCTTGGAGGTGCTCCGCTATGGCAGCAGCGGCCACGACGTCCTCTCCTGTCTCAAGTTCTTCGACTGGGTCGGCCACCAGCCCGGCTTCAACCACACCCGCGCGACCTTCAACGCCATTTTCAAGATTCTTTCTCGCGCCAAGCTCATGTCACTGATGCTTGATTTCCTGTCCACCTACAGGAAGCAGAGGTATGCGCATACGGTTCGATTTCACGACACTTTGGTGATGGGTTATGCTGTGGCTGGCAAACCCGACATTGCACTCCAACTGTTTGGTAAAATGCGCTTTCAGGGGCTTGACCTGGATGTGTTTGCTTACCATGTTCTTTTGAATGCTTTGGTGGAAGAGAATTGTTTTGATGCTGTTCAGGTCATTGCCAAGCAGATTTCTTTGAGGGGTTTTGAGAACGGGATCACTCATTCCGTCATGCTCAAGTGGTATTGTAAGCAGAACTTGCTGGATGATGCTGAAAAGCATTTGCGTAAATTGTTGTCTGACGAGAGGGCCGTCAATGGGCATGCCGTGAGTGTTCTTGTGCATGCCCTTTGTAAGAATAATAAGTTTGAGCAGGCCGGGAAGTTGGTGGAGGAGTTTCAGGGCGCTGGGGTGGAACGCATGGAGAGTGTCTATGGTGTGTGGATACGTGATCTTGTTCAGGCTGGAAGGTTAGATGGGGCGTTGGAGTTTCTGCATAACAAGAGGTCATTGGAAGGGTATGTGCCTGATACTTTTAGGTACAATACTTTGATATGTAGGCTTTTGAGGGAGGATCGGCTTGAGGAGGTTTGTGATTTGTTGATGGAGATGAAGGATGGTCAGATTTTCCCTGATAAGGTCACCATGAATGCTGCCTTGTGCTTCTTTTGCAAAGCAGGAATGGTTGATATTGCTCTTGAGTTGTATAATTCGAAATCTGAGTTTGGGCTCTCTCCTAGTAGTATGGCTTACAACTATTTGATCAATACTTTCTGTGGGGATGGCAGCGTGGACGAAGCATATGGAGTGTTGAAGAATTCTATGGAACAAGGTTATTTTCCGGGCAGGAAAACATTTTCTATACTTGCAGATGCTTTGTGCGGAGAGGGAAAGCTCGATAAGATGAAGGAGTTGGTTATTTTTGCGCTAGAGCGGAACTTTATGCCAAGTGGTTCCACATATGATAAGTTCATTACAACTCTTTGTAGAACTAAGAGGGTAGAAGATGGTTATTTAATACATGGGGAACTCAACAGAATAAATAAAGTTGCTAGAAAGAGTACATACTTTAACTTGATACATGGTTTTAACCAGTCAAGTAGGGGTGATATTGCTGCCAGACTTCTGATTGAAATGCAAGAAAGGGGTCACTCACCGACTCGTAACCTGTTCAGAGATGTAATTTGCTGTCTATGTGATATGGAAAATCCAGATAAGCAATTTTTTAATTTGTTAGAGCTCCAGTTGTGTTGTCGGGAACCTAGTTGTCAAATATACAACTTTTTCATCTATGGAGCTGGGCATGCGAAAAGGCCCGATCTGGCTAGACAAGTATATGAGACAATGCAGCGAAGTGGGATTGAGCCCAATCTGAGATCTGATGTTCTTATGTTGCAGAGTTATTTGAGGAGTGAACGAATTTCGGATGCTTTGAACTTCTTCAATGACCTGCACCAGAGAAGAGAGATGGGGAGAAGATTATACAGCACAATGATTGTTGGTCTTTGCAAGGTCAAAAGGGCGGATATTGCACTTGACTTCTTGAAGGAAATGAGAGAGAAGGGAGTGGTTCCAAGCGATGACTGTTATGAGTTTCTTATACAGTTGTTGTGCTGGAAACAAGGATATCATGTAGCAGTAAATCTCATTAATGACTTGGAGAAAGTTGGCCGCCATATTACATCCTTTACTGGTAACATACTTCTGTTGCATTCTCTGAAAAGTCAAGAGCTCTACGAGGCTTGGGTTCAACTCAGACAGGTGCCAAATGAGAAGTCTGATAGTTCAATGCTTGGTCTGCTTATTGGTGCATTTTCTGGTCGTGTCAGGTTGAGCCAAGATATTGAGAATTTGGAAGAAATAATTGAAAAGTGCTTTCCGCTAGATGTGTACACATACAATATGTTGCTGAGAAGACTAAGCGAGACCAATATGGACCGTGCTTGTGCATTGTTCTATAAGATGTGCCAGAAAGGGTATGAGCCTAACCGGTGGACTTATGACACCTTAGTACAAGGTTTTCTTAAACATGGGAGGACTTCTGAGGCAAGGAGATGGGTAGAAGTGATGTACCAGAAAGGGTTTCATCCAACAGAGCGTACAAAGCTATTTATTTGATTGGTTTTCATTGAAGTCACTAGTGCAGTGTCTGAAATTTACTAGACATTACACAGTTGCAAAGTTTATACAAGTTTTGCCGCATGATAATATATTTCATACCTTGGTAAGATTGTATAGATGGAGCATTTATATTTGTGTGATTTTTTTTTTATCAACTGCTCAGGAAAAACGGGAACCCTAAAGTTATAGTGATACATGCTAGTTTCAATTAATTTCTTCTTCTTTGTACTCTGTTTGGTGACTTACTACAAATCCTTTGCCGCATGTAACATGTATGGGCAAGACTATCTGGACAGATTGCCTTTTTGTTGATATTTTCCATGGTGTGTCCGACAATCTTGGAACTCTAAGGTTGTTGTTCACAGATTTAGCAAATAGGGATGATACAAAACTATTGTCTTTGTTTCTGTTATCTATTGTGTACATTATTATTAATCATTAAAACTAATTCTTTACCAATGAATTTGTCTTAACAAAGATGATAAAATAATAAGAACTCTCAGACTTACAGGTATATTTTCTATGTTACAAAAGTTGATTAAGACTTATTTTTCAGCATGATAATATTAAGTTCATACCTTGGTAAGATTGATGATGCAGAATGCATATTATTAGTTTTTTTAATTCTACTTGGATTAGTTTTCCTATGATTAGTTTTCCTAATTTAGTTAAAGATTCCTTGTTGTTGAAGGATCTCTTATTAGTTAATTTGCTTTCCTATTTCTTAAAGTTTCCTTTTCCTTTTCCTAGACTAAAAAGGGTTTTGCCTCTATAAATAGAGTTGTTTGTAATCTTTTAAGGCAGACTTGTTTAATGATAAATTTCCTTACTTTAAACTCTCTGATTCCTTCCCTTTCCCTTCGTCTCTTCGATCTCTAATTCTTCTCCTCGATCTCTTATTTCTTCTCTGTTCTATTGCTTAAGTGTTTATTCTAAAACCTACGGGCTGTTCTACATCAATTGATTAGATGGAGTGTTTAGATTTATGTGTTATTCATTTTTTCAACTGTTAGAAACACCCTAAACATATAACGATGTGTTTTTTATGTCCTGTGCAGAACCTTGACAGAGAATTCACAATACGATGCATGTTTTTATAGAAGTTTTGTGTGGTTATTTAATTAGCAGAACTATTTCTCCTCCTTAATCCTTATTCAAATAGTTTCCCATGACATGTGGTTCCTCTTTGTACTCTGTTTGGTGGCTTAGTACAAATCGACTGCCACATGTATGATGTACGTGCTGCAAATTTATTTTCCTGTACTAACCTCTATCTGGACAGATTGCGTTTTTTGTCGATATTTTCTATTGTGGCTTTGACAAGCTTGGAATTACTAAGGTTGTTATTCAAAACTTTAGCAAATAGGGATGAGACAATTCTGTTATCCTTCCTTCTATTTTCTAATGTGTACATTATTAATCCTTAAAACTAAGTTGCTCCAATGAATTTTGTCTTAGCAAAGATGATAATTTAATGAAAACACTCACAGCCTTACAGGTATGTTTTCTTTGTTGCAAAAGACGACACTGAAATATGGGTTTACACAATGAGAAGGAAAAACTAAAGGCTTCGCAGCAATCTCCTAACTTACAAGGTATGACTAGTTATGTAGTTCAGTTGAATTTGGTTACAATCAAAGCGAACTTTTGTTCCTTTGCAAACAAACAATGAATGCTAACTTTTTTCAGTTTTTTCATTTCTTACCACCATTTAGAGCGACATTTTAGGGGAATATGACTGAACCTAAAAAACTTTCATTCATATTCTCTGGCATGGCTTGGCATATTATATTAAAAAGAGATAAATCACCTATTTTGTTTTTCTTTTGTAAAAAATTCATCTTGTATTCAAATACTTGCATTGAATTGAAATGCAGAAATTTATTTCGGAATATAGGAAAACTCAGGATTTCAAAGATGCAAGATGGTAATTTCCTTGTTTGGTATAATCAACAAGGAAATTAGCAAATTATGTGTGGAAAACTGGTGGGATTTGCTGAAATAATTCTGACTTTAAATTTCATCAAAAGAGGCGCAAATAATTTTCTTACCGTGTCCTCCGTATGAGACCTTAACTGTCTCTACCCAAATCAGTCCTTTTACAAAGAGCCAGAGAGGGAAGGAAAATGATCATGTCGAGAATGGTGCTTTTCTGATGATTTTCGAGTTAGGTTCAATTCCAAATTATGCCTGAGACGTACCTATTGGCTCTTTGAATGGAAGCAAAACCATACGATGGGATTCTGCTGTATCTTCTTTGTGGATGAACTGTTGCTGTTTCTTTGAGACCTCAGGTTGTCGGTCTCTCTTTTATTCACTTGCTGCTTTTGGCATTACCTCTGGCTCTATAGAGTATAGAACTTTGTGATTTATCTAATTTCTTTTCTTTATTGAGATTACAGGTTCCATCTATTTATCTTTTTTTATTTCTCTTTGTGATTTATGTTTAAACATAATCTTCCAATCTTTGGGGAGTCTGGTTTTTTATCCTGCTGATGGGCTTCTTGTTCATCTCGTTCTGTACTTATTTCACCTGTTAATACAAGTTTCTTTTCCAAAATAGAAAAAGAATAAAAAATTGTGACCTCTCAGTCAGTTACTGATTGTACTTCTGTGCAGTTGGACATGCATCTGCAGGAGCAATTTGTGAGGATTATTTTGAACCACGATGTAGAGCTGGGATTTATCTGACGCTGCCTGTAGATTGTGAACTCAACAGTTACTGATGCTAAAGAAGAATATATGGACTTCTCCAGAATGAGGACTACCAGGAATGTTTTCCCAAGCAAAATTCAAGTAGACGGCATTATCAGATTCCAAAAATTTGTCTCCTTCAGTTGCCATATGTGCAAAAAGTGGGAGAATTTAAACCCCACTCCAGTTGTCTTTCAATTTAGGGTGAAATTATTGTATGGAACTGGAATGTGGTCACAAGAATATAACCCATCCACATGGATATTATAACCCACAACCATAGGTTCAAAGTTAACCAAAGGGTAGAAAACGCCAGTTATGACCCTTTCAATTTAGATTAGCTTAATAGCTTTAAAAATGAATGTTAATTTATTAATTTAAAATGAAGCTTAACATTTCAAGTTGTTACTTCCTTGCAGGTCAAAAAGGCATTCCATATGAGGGAGATTAAGTAGAGTTCATTCCACATCCACTCCTTGCACTCGTCAATCACCACGCTCGAGTGTCATCCCAGGCACCATTCTGGAACTAAGTGCTCAGATGGTCCCACGGTTTGATCAAAATGGGGTTGAGAAGGGCAAGTAAGATGGGTCTTACAGTCAGGGGGTAGTCTTTAAGGAGGACCAGGGAAGCATCTCTTAGTAGTACACGACCTTCTTCCTCATCAGTTTCTCTTGGAGCATTTCCCCGGGAGATCTCAAATGTAAGATGTTAAATTTGGATTTCATACCTAAGTGGCAATTTGACACTTAATAAATTTTTTAACTCCATTTGCAAATATCATTTTATTTTGTTATATTTTTAAAAGTAAATATGGCTCATATAATCAAGGTTTAACTGCTATAGTGCTCCCTGAAACATTGGTCATTACTTATCCCCCCTCAAAGTTAAAGTGATCCACTTTGTCCCATTGACCGATATTTTTTGTCTCATTTTGCCTCTCATCGTCAAATTTGTTAAAAATTCTATTAAAAAAGCTGACGTGGCACTAATGGGATCCACTATTTAGCTAAACTAAATGCCAGTGTGAAGAAAATAAAATAAAAATTGTCTATTAAACAGGCCCAACACGTTTGGCAACACTTTCCTGGCCAATCCCCTGTGGTTGCTCGCCGATGCCAGTGCAATCTTCGCCACATCATTCGCCGTCTCTGGGGGCTCTACACCTCCTTGCCCAAGTATTCCACTTTCCCGTCATTTTCTTCGACCCCATCTACTTTCTCATTGGAACCTGCCAAAACCACGTCGTTTTCCGATAACAGAGCAGAAGCAGAGCTTTCAACGGCAAGCTCATGTGAAACTTAAGCGTTCTCTGCCAGAAAGATAGAATCTTGGGCAGCAACATCAACCGATTTCAGGCCTCGCGATGGCTCAGCTTGTCTCTTCTCTTGCCTCTGCTGCTGTTCTTCTTGGTCTTCTCGTCGTTGGCCAGGTGATCTTCGGAGGCTTCGATGGCTTGGTGGATGGGCTCGCAGTTGGGGGAAGAGTCTCATTTGAATAATGAGGGCTTAAAGTGAGGAGGTTATTTGAGGAGGTCAAATCTCACCATCAACAAATGTAAAGAAATCATGGGACTTAAATATTTTAAATGTTTTGACGGTCGGATCGGTCTCCTCAAATAACCTCCTCACTTTAACTCCTCATTGTAGAAGCTCCCTTCTATAGCAATCGAAGCAATCGCAATCGAACATTTAGGGCTGGTGGGTGCTGGTGCTAGTGGACTTGGGGCCTTTCTTGGAAGATTTCTTCTTGGGGTCTTGGGCCAGGATCGAAGAAATATTGGGGGTGGTTTTCATGGACCGGGTTATCAAGTAAGCCAAGACTGTGGCCAGAGACGGACCCACAGTGGGGTCACTGGGGTCAAACGACCCTATGGAAGCCATGAAAATAGGGTTGGAGGTCCACTTGAGCTGGCTGTGTGACCCCTTGGATTGCCCTCCAAATGTTTGATGTTTTGCCTGAGAGGAAAAGGGAGGAAGTTGTGCGCAAGAGGAAGAAGAGGCAGCGCAACGCGCTTCTGGTTTTTTTTTAAAACACCTGGGCAAAACGACGTCGTTTTGGCCCAGGAAAATTTTTAAAATTAAAAACCCTTCCGTATCCCTCCATTCTCCAACATTAAACTGTTTGTTGTAAATACATGCATGTGGAGCCCACATGTTTTTCCTTTTCCCTGTACAATACCTGATGAGCACGTTTCCTCCCTTCTATAAAGGGAGGCCTCTGTTCATAAAAAAAAAGGGGAGGCGTCATCTTCATTGTAATGATTGATCAATCTGAATAAAACTCCCTAACTAGGATTTCTCTCCCTTTCAATTCTCTCAATCTTTCAGTTTCTCAATCTCAATCTATTTAGTTTATAACACTATTTTCTTTTTAATCTTTTTAACCTGTTTTGTTGTTGGAATCAACAAGTCAACTTTATTTCATTTATTATTATTTCTTCCTTTCAAATTCCAATGACTGGCTTAGAAATTAGAATCCATGAATGATGAACTTTACTTGTAATTTTATCTAAGGATGACCACAATATGGTTTTATTACCACTATTTAACACTTAAGAATTCTCCACCAAAAAAAAAAAAAAAAAAAAAAAAAAAAAAAAAAATTTTTTTTCTTTGTAATTAGAACAAAATGCATGTATACTGGTTTTAATTTAATGGAAATCAAATTTATAATTGATTGGATGAAATTTATGATTTATATGTATTAGATTAATTTGTTGGATGAAGTTTTTGCTTATTTTTGTTGATTAGGCGGTTGTGGTTTTTTTCGTTTTTTGGTTAATTGGCATAGGTTTGGTTTGAAATTTTATGAATTGAAACACTCAAAAATACATAAAAAATGACAAATTAAAATCATTCAAAGTATATTTTTCTAATAAAGGAATAAAATTTGGAAGAGAAAAAATAGATAAGAAAAATAACCCATTTTTAAAATTTCTTTCGAACATTTACACTATGACCGTACGGAGTTCAGATCCTGGGTCCGTCACTGACTGTGGCCAGAGCTAAAATGGCAGCTGGGAGGAGCTGAAGCATAGAGAGAACAAATCCATCATAAGAGGAGCTATTGTTGCATCATAGGAAGATTATATAATCCTGTGTCTAATTTGGCCCAAATTCTAGTATTGTTATGCCAAGTAAAGAATCATCCAGAGGAATGGACCACTTTCAAAGCTGTAACAATAACAAAATCCCGAAACCAGTACTGAATTAGGTAGTCCAAGAACCACCCTCTCATTAGGTTGTATAATACTGTTAAAAGTCTAAATTAAGGAGAACTGACATTTTCCAAACAATTCCACAAAACACAAACTATCAAATTTATACAACCCATGTAAAGTATGAACATATTTCATGGAGGAGGAGGAAGTAGAAGGAGATGGGTGCACTTTGCCTTTGTTCTTTATATTCATGGTGTTTGATGTTTTGCTTGTGTGGAAGAGAGAGTGGTAGGTGATGAAGCTGGGTAGGGATTCTGGGAAAAAGATGAAAACTTAAGAGAGAGAGAGAGAGAGAGAGAGAGAGAGAGAGAGAGAGAGAGAGTGATGAATAGTGGTGGGGAATGGGTGAGGTCGAAGCCCTAAATCCACAATTTTTAATTTTTAATTTTTTTTCTTCACACATGGCATTTAGTCTAGTTAAATAGTGGGTTCATTGGTGCCACATTAACTTTTTTAACATAATTTTTAACAGACTTGACAGTGAGGGGCAAAGTGAGACACAAAACATTGGTCAATGGGGGTAAAGTAGGTCACTTTAACTTTGAGAGGGATAAGTGAGAATTGATCAATGTTTCAGGAGGCACTGTAGCAGTTAAGCCTATAATAAATAAAATTTGAAGTTGAGTAAATAGTGGTCGAGGTCCGGGTTGAAGTAGTTAACTCCATATAACTTATTAATCAATTACTAATTTGTTGAGCAAATGAAAATTTGAAGCAATGGTATCTATATTTGTATGAAAAGAATGATCAAACTTGTGTGAGTAGAAATCTTTTAACAAGTTATTTAAGTAACAAGGGAGAGGGTTTCTCTTGTTAAGTTGGGGGGCTAATATTTTTGGGAAATGACCCTCAGTGGCACCCCTTTGATAATTTTAACTAAAAATACCATTCCTTCCCAATTTTTTTACAACTATCAACTATAAATATAAAATTATTGTACCCTTATTGCTCTCCTAACACTTTTTCTGAAATTTACCTCCCGCCCATCAGCTCCCTCTTGGCTCCGTCGCTCAGTCTCTTCACTCTCTGGTCAATCTGCTCTCACTCTCTCGTCTCTCAACTCTAACTCTCTCATCTCTCGTCGCTCAGCTATCACTCTCTCTTCTGTCTTCCTCTCCCAGCGAAATCTGTTCATCGAAGAACAACGCCATCATTCACCGCAAACAGGTACTGTTCATCGAAATTCTTTTACGGCTTAGGGTTTATGGGTTTGTTTGAAATTGGTTGACGGGGTTGTTTGAAATTGGTTGACGGAGTTGTTTGAAATTGGTTTAGGGTTTGGGGGTTTCTCTGAAATTGGTTTAGTGGGTTTTCTGAAATGGGTATAGGGTTTAGGGGTTTCACTAAAATTGGTTTTGCTTTAACTCTGTTTGCTAACTTAAGGGCTTGCATATTGGATATGGATAAGTTCTCTTTGTTTTTCATATTCTCTTGTGATTATTTGGAATTTCAGTTTGGGGATGAATATTCAATGTCTAAACAAAGGGCAAGGAACCATATGTGGTGTAATATGAGTTCTTTAAAAGTTTGTTGTTTTGTGCTTGATCATTGTATGCTTAAAACAAAGCGGGAAATGAGTGAAGATGGGAACATGCCACCAGCAGGTGTGGTTTAGAGAAATGGGGCCATGGATTTTGCTATAAGCTAACTCTTTAAGCTTTTGCTTGTCTTTTTTGTGTATGGATAGTTAGACAACTCTGTTTATGAGGTGAACTTTTAATTTTTAATTGTACATGTGTAAGAAACATTTTTTACAGTTTTGATGGTTTATTTATTCATTTATCTTTGATATTGATAACACATACAATACATACAAACCTCTGATTTTGTTAAGAAAAACTGAAGGGATGGTGCCAATTTCATTAATTTCCTTACATTTGAAAGGAGGGCATATTGGAGTCATGATTGTGGTTGCCACTAATTGATAGGATGTTCCATTACATTATACGTTGAAGTCAATAAATTGTTTCCTGATGTCTTCTTGTTGAATTGTTCTGAATTAGGCTTCTGCTACTGCACATTCCTATTGTAGCTTAAGCTGTCATGATTATCTGTGTTTTGGAGATGTGTGTGTAGATATTTAGTTAATTGTCAATGATCATGTAAGGTAAAGACTTAAATCCTTGTGAGACAGAAATTGGAGTGAGAGACAGTAATTTGAAGGACACATGAAAAACTGAGTGAGAGACAAGTAGTTTAATGGCATTTTTTAGGAAGCCTTGTGAAGAGAAATATAAAAGAAGGAAGTGGGAAAATATAATGGCACTCTCTCTTTCTCTCTTTGCAGTCAATGTTAGGGTTTGTTGAGGGGGTTCTTGAAGGTGAAAGAGAGGGTTGCTTCGTTAAATGCTCTCTCCCTTCAACAATCTCTCAGTTCCCTCTCTTTTCATGTTTTCAATGGACGTCTTTCTCTTCTCCTCTGCTCTTTCAGGGCCTCAAAAAACCCAAATTCTTGGTTTCGGTTCCGACTTTTTTCACATACTTCCTCCTCATTCTCAATCCTCTCACAGACAGAATTCGAGCTTTTGTTTAGGTGTTTCTGCGATTTCCAATTCGGGTGTGCAAAACGAGTGATTCTAAGGTAGGTTTTGTATTTGTTATTGACTAGTTTGTCTTTTTGTACGGTTTTCATTTGAAAAGGATAATTTCACTAACCTGTGACTGATTTTGTGAAGTTTAGTAATTAGAGAGATTGCAAATTTCTGTATTTTAACTGTGAATTACTTCATGCTTGGATGAAACTTCTATTGGTCTGATTGATTTTCTGCTATGGATGACGAAGTGCCTCAATTTGCTATTTGTCATGTAGGATTGGTTCGTTTGTGATGCGTGTTTTCAGTTCCATTTTATGATGCATATTTAGTGTGGGAATTTATTGTGGTTCATGTGCTGTAATTTGTGTTTAATTTTCACTTAATATCCTATAATAGGCCGTTGAATTGTGTATTGCTTGTTATTGTCCAGATTGCAACGGACTGAAAACATGGTTTCTCCAATTAAGTTGATGATTGGAGAGGAAGAAAAGTTCCAAGGAAAAGCATTGGCGCTATCCCATACAAAGAGTGCAATAAGTACGATAAAAGAGAAAATTCAGTGAGCAACAGCTACGAACCTTCGAAGAGAGTTGTTTTGGGCATCTCCTACTCATTGAGGACCTGAAGTGGACGTCGCCAATTGTACACGGATTGTTGCTGAGGAAGTTGATCCGAAGACTGTTTCCCAAGTGAACGGGATCAAATTCATCGTTGGCAATAAGGTGATCCAATTCACACCGCAGCAATTTTGCGTCGTCACAGGGCTAAGGTTTGGAAACCTTCCCTTTATTCCGATTCCCAGTAATGACAACTGCTCATTGAAAAGGAAGTACTTTGGCAACAATAAAACAGTGAGCCTTTTGGAATTAGAAAAAGCCTTCCGCGACTGCGCTGATGCGGATGATGTATTGAAGCTCGGCTTTGTATACTTCGCTGTGTTTGTGCTGTTGGGCAGTGAAAAACATGTCCACATTGACATGCGATATTTGAAGTTGGCGGAAGACCTTGAAGATTTTGGGAAATATCCATGGGGTGCTGTGTCTTATGCGAAGACAAATGCGTCACTGCTGAGGGCACTGTGTGCAGATTACCAGCGAGTGAAAGTGCCCAAAAAGCTGCGAAAACAAAAAAATCTGAAAAGAAAGTAAAGACAACGGCAACTGGTAGACCAAGAGAGTACCACCTCAAGGGTTTTGCCTTTGCACTTCAGGTGAGCACATTTCGATTCCTGTTGAAGTTAAATATCATTTGTTTACAGTAATGGGTTCTACATAATGGGGGAGAGAGAGTGAGGAGAGAGGGAGAGAGAGAGAGAGAGAGAGAGAGAGAGAGAGAAGAAATTGAGAGCTGCATTGGAGGAGCTAAAACATCATTTGTTCATGTTTATTTTCTGTAATTATTACTTATTTGGGGGATTGATTGGTTTAGTTGTTGAAGGATGAAGACGAATAAAAGGAACTCTGTCCACTGTTATTGTTTTTTGACAGATTCTTTTGACTAATGATATTGTGTTTGTGTGTGTGTGTTGATAGATATTTGTGTGTGAGAGAGAGAGGAGAGAGAGAGCGAGAGAGAGAGAGAGAGAGAGAGAGAGAGAGAGCAAATTGGGTGGCTGTTCTGGGCGGCTGTGGTATTTAAAAAAAGAATTCTACAAAGAAATATAATAATTTGCAAAGTTAAAAAATTGATGGGAAAGGGGAGAAACATTCAAGGGAGGGGGTCAGGGGTAGAAGGGAATTCAAGAATAGAAAATGGACAGAAGGTTTTATTTTATTTAATTAGTAATATTATTCTGTTTTTTGCTGAATATTATATCATTAATATTGATGATGAGCCCCGTGTTTTTCTATCAACAACCCTAAGTTAACACTAATGACCTCATTATAGAAATAAGTTGTCAGAAAAACAAGTTTACATTTTCACCCCTTTATGTAAGTGGGGGATATTGGATATTAGGAAATAATCTGTTTTCCTGATTTGTGTTGAATGCTCTTAGACTAATGACTAATGTGGCCCGAACCACTTTTAGCCTCTATGCATCTCTAGATGGCTGTATTTCGTTTAACTTTTGTCAATCATAGGGCAAGGTTTAGACTGCAATTAATACATGCTAATTATTTCTCTTTATTGTATTCTTGGCTTTTCATGCCCTATTTAAGGTTATAGCATGTGATCTCTAAGGCTTTTCTTCCTGAAACCAGATTTGGGCTTATGAGGTATTTCCAGCGTTGGCTGCACTACATTTGGTGGTGCACGAACATAATGCCTACATCCCTCGTATACTACATTGGAGGAGCAACACTTTGCCGCGTTTTTATGAGCTCATGAGCCAAGTCTTCGAAAACCGTGAGGTTAGTTCAGTTTGTAATGATAATCTTAGGCATATGAAAATATAATTTTATAAGTTTACTGATATTTCTATTGTCTGCGTAAATTGCAGGTTGATGTGCAACTTATCCGGCCATCTGTAATTGACAAGCAGCAGGCGTATTGGACTTGGGGGTGACAGTGTTGACAACACTGAAGAACTTGTTGAGTTGGTTGGCGATGACGCTGAACAAAAAACCAGCACGTCTGCCTCTGTAGAAGAAAAAGATGAGGACATTGAAGAAACTGCTAGCCTTCCGTCGTCTTCTAAGGCAAGCATTACCTATTTTCCAATATTCCATATATATGTCATAATACAATAGGAAATGAACTGCTGTTTTGTTCCGATATATTTTGGAAATATTGTAACACTTGCATTATAACTGATTGCAGGGTAAAATGGCGTCCACTGAGTTACGCACTTTGAAGCGTGACTTTGAAAGGATGAAGGATGAATTCGCCAAAGTTGTCAGTTCAAATCGAGCGCTTCACAACAGAGTGCATGAGTTGGAAGAAATGGTACGGAGGGAGTCATCCAAAGTTGAAAGAAATAACAAGTGTGTGGAGGATTTGCGCAACACAGTGGCATCAATGGAGCATTATTTTAAGCTGGAGCTAGAGCAGCTGCGAAAACAAGATGGTGGGGTGAAAGAAGCTGGGGAAGGACATGAGGACCTCGATACTCCTCATATGAATGAAGGAGGTGACAATGAATTGTCGCCATTACATGACAATGTCACTCCGCCCACAAAATCGGCAGCAATGGCAACACAAGTCCCCAGTGATGGAGCCGAACCTTCCGCAGCCATGGTCACTCCAGTTCCTGACTTACAAGTGCATGAAGCAGCTGCGCATGCACAATCCGAGAAGCTGCCTACCCCGGAAGATGTGGCCGGTGTGTGACGAAATCTGCCAAAGACTTATGTTTTTGTTAGAAGATTGGAAAATAGCTGACAGAGTGCCATCGGGAGGTCCGATGAATCCTCCAAGTATACCTACAATTAGTATGGCTGCTGATGAAGAAGGTAGTTTGAGTGTTGAAAAAAAAGAAGTGGAAGGTAAAGGCTGTAGACAGAAGCGCCCGGCCCAGACATTATTAAGTCCATTTACTGATCCTTTGAGGAAGAAGAGGACAATGAGTGTGTCGGATGCGACTGCAACCCCGCCATGTTTTGATCCATCAAAACCGCTGCCCATTGAAGATGTGAAGGCAGTAATAGATTTTTGCACTGCCTGGAAAAACGATATCAGGTTCGCATTCTTGACCTTCGAAATCCAATTGTCATCCTATTAATATGCATGTGTATATTTGTCATCAACAAAGTCAGATTATGAGATGAGTACAAACGTAACCGTTCCAAGTTTGCCTTTTCTAGTGTGCAGGTGCAGCTTGAAGCATTTTCAGTGGGCGCTGATTTTTTCTACAAACTCATCGATGAAACGGCATGGATTAGCTCAAGGGTAAGAATACACAAATCTCTACTTTATTATGATCATTCAATTGTTTTCTCACCTTTTTTAAGTGTACAATTGTCTGAAAATGTGCTGATATTATATGTCAACTGTCAGCACCTGGAAATGGCAACCCTTTCTTATCCGGAAACGGCAACTCTCTCATCCGTTGCTATTTGGAACCGACTGGACAACGGCAGATTATGCCTTGCAGGTACACTTTTTACCATGTTACATTCACTGCTTCATTTGCTTTCCCTCGTCATTATGTCATATGGTTTCATTTCAATGTCTGCAGCAATTTCTAGAGCCGTTAAAAGCGACTGGCAAGACACGTGGATCGAAGAAGGCAGCAGCTTCAAACACCAGTGACCTTCCAGCCAACAAGCTGAAGAATGTACATCACTTTGTGCACGGTACGTGGCAACACGGGTATGCCCAAGCTTGGAAAAAAGTCCGCAAGTGTATTTTCCATATAATCTTCGAGAGTCCCATTGGGTTGCAATCGAAATTGATTTCGTCCGACATACTGCAACTGTGTATGACTCATATGTTGAATATACCAAATCTTCGAAGCTGGTTACACTTCTGCAACCTGTTAGCGATACGCTTGCACGAGTGCTGTACAATATGAAGTTTTATGAAGATTCTGAGGTTGAAGAGGTGAAGCAAAAGGGGCTGCAGATGTCGAGGTTTACGCCTTTCTCAGTTTGCATCATTGGAGGTGTGCCACAACAACGAGATGGGTAAGAATTGTGAATTTAGTTTCATTTTTTTCAAAATTTTACATAAATGCAGTTGTAATTTCCCAACTTATTGGCCTCACAGTACGTCTTGCGGAATCATGACCGTTCAATTCATCGAGCATCTCAGTGCGGGCTTTCGTGCATAAAATTGGACCCGTCGAAGATCAAATATATACCGACTGAAGCTTGCAATAGAGGGGTTATAAGGAGGCATATTTATGGAGGTAAATGTCTTCATGTGTGTGAATTGACCTCAGGACGACTTATGACGTGGGAATTCCACTGCGCTCGTTATTATGTCAGGACCTCCTTCCTATGAAGATGTCGCCCAGTGGGGCAGCTGTGCTGGCCTACTTTGGCTCGTAATCCTGCCCTTTTGCTAGAGCTAGTTGGTTTATTGTTAGTATTGTGAGGTGTAATGTACAATCTAGAAGCCGTGGCTAATTGCCTACATGGCACAACACTGTTTCGATTTGAAGTTAACTATTTTGGACACCCTCCATATGTAAATAGAGTTGCTGTTTATGGATGCTTTTGTAGTTTATTTAGTTGCTGTTAATGGATGCTTTTATAGTGCTGGTTTTGGGTGCTTTTTATAGGTTGTGTTATGGATGCTTAAGAATGTTCATTCTCTGATTGATCGTAATACTTCAGGTACTTTTTTCATACTTTTTACTCTCGTTGCTAGTGGAACTCGCACAACATTGGTATTTGGTGTTATTTGTGTATGAGTTTTTAATTTTGTTATGCCATTTGGTAACTAGGGTTTTTAGGAGTTGGTTTATTTATTTAGGAGCTTGTGTTTGTGCTGAAAAATTGATGGATTTGTGTTTATCTTTGTGCTTGCATTCATTATGAGCTACAGAACCAACCTGTATTCAGCTTGCATTGGCATAAGAAAACATGAGGGGTATTTGCTTTGAAGTCTGTGATGTGGTTCTTCATGCTGATGCCATCCACAAGGAGGTGGTCAGGTCATTCCCACTGCTAGGACACTCATCTATGCTTCCCAGCTCACTGCCAAGCCAAGCCTCCTTGAAACCTGTATATCTTGTTGAAATCCAAGCTCCAGAGCAGACTGTTAGTGGTATCTACGGTGTTCTTAATCAGAAACGTGGGCACGTGTTTCAGGAAATGCAGAGGCCTGGTACTCCACTGTACAATATGAAGGCATACCTCCCCGTCATTGAATGTTTTGGGTTCTCTGGTCAATGAGGGCTTCGACTTCAGGGCAGGCCTTCCCACAATGTGTCTTTGATCATTGGTAGATGATGATGTCTGATCCATTGGAAAGCTGGATCCCAGGCTTCAGAACTTGTGACAGATATCCGTAAGAGGAAGGGTTTGAAGGAGCAAATGACCCCACTATCCGAGTTTGAGGAGAAACTGTGAGTAATTTCTTTGATTATATCCAACAATTGGATGACTGAGTTTGTTTTTGAGACAGTAGTTCCATTGCAGTGCCTATTTTTGGTTTTCAGTTTTGGTTTTTGTTTAAATGCTTGTACCACCCCTGTTGTTGTAGTCACCATCCTCTATTTTCTTTGTTACTTTGCTTGTTTTCTTTTGGCTTGTCATATCTTGTGCAAGATAGCTGCATTTGCACTATAACAGACTCGGTGGCATTACAAATTAACAGAGGTCTTTTTGGAACTCCCCTTCATAACTCTATGATGTGTGTTCATATGTGTGTGCCAGTTGTTTTTTGCGGCCGTCTCAACCAGTGTTATTGCATATTCAAAGAAGATGACCATACATTTTATTTGATGTAGGCATACGTAGAGAGGCTTAGCTTGAATTGGTTTTGGTTGTTCCAAGTGTATGTACACAATCCGAGTCAGTACCGAGTTGGTTTACATTTCATGTATTTCTCCGTGGTTTTTTTTCCCCCAATATTATGATTATGGAGATGAAGTAAATATTAATGTGGACCTTATAGCATGTTTAGTTTCTTTTCTGGCCTTAATTCTGTGAGATGCCCTTATAATGTCAAACAAACGGTTTTGACATACATGTTTTGAAATAATTGAAATCACACCGTTTTATTATTAATTATTATTATTTTTTGTTTCCTCCTCTGAGAAGAAGCAAAGTGGTTACAAATATGAAAGATTCCGAATCAGTTTTCTTCTGTCAAATTCCGCATGGAGCTAGAGGTCTACGGTACCATCCGATGAGACTTGACAAAAAATTTGTATTTTTTCTTCTTACATTTGTCATAGATAAGATTAAATGTAACCACTAATGAACTGATCCCTTTATTTGTTATTGTTTATTTATTCCAATTGCGTGTGCATCACATGGAAATCTTAGGATTTCTTTACATCAAACTGCCTCTTAAGAGTCATGAGAAGAAGAAAGAGGAAGAAGAGAAACAGAAGGGACCTAGCTGGAGCTTACAAGTAATTAAACTAAAGTTCATTTAGTTAAAGTCAGGGGAAGAAAACATGTTTTATGGCACTGCCCCCTCGAAATGCAAGCTGTTGGAAGGAGATGTTAAAAGGGTTATTGTGCATTCCATTGGCCAAGCTTGAATGGATTTTCTTTTCTATTGTATTTGACCCTTCTTTTCAAGCATGCCAAAATCATCCTGGTTTTGTAAGATGTGGTTTGAGCCCATGAATTTACCGTGGCTCTTGCATTTTGTACCCATATTTCATAGCTCCTTATTTGAAGGACGATTCATTGAGGGAGAGAATTACTTTCCTTTTGAATATGAATCGATGTGCAACTCCACTACTTCATTTCAAAGGAAACATCAATTCATGGTAATATAAGGATGGATACACAATTGTCCTGTCCGTGATATTTGAATTGGATTACTTTGAACGAAATGGAGACTGTTATTAGACCAAATGGCATTGACATACGATGTAATAGCAATATTAGGCCAATATACTCACTGTAGAGGCAATATTAAGCAATATAAAGTACAATACCATAGGGATATGATCACAATATACTTTCATAGGGTGGTGGCAATATACATACAATATGTATACAATACCAAGGCAATATTAAGCAATATACATACAATATGTATACAATACGAAGGCAATATTAAGCAATATACATAGATAACATACCAAGGCAATATAAGCAATAGACGCAATATTAAGTAATCTACATACAATACACACACATCCAAAAGTACGACTACATTTGACACTGCAAACCAAATCGCCTCCGAACCTTAACGCGAAGGAAAAACGAAGGCACCAAAAAATCCAGTACTCGGGTGAGATGAACTGCAGCAGCACTTACCCTTACTACAGGTCCATGAAAAAGACCATGTCTTTGTGCTTTCTCCTCGCTGCATGCACGAGGCTATGATGAGCCATTCCATCAGCCACCCATATTCAGCACCTGCCAGACACCAGTACATCAATTTCACTCCAATGTAGTGGTGAGATTGACCGACGCATAATCTCGGAAACATTTCGAAGCGTTTGTTGAAAAACATTCAAACCATTTCATGGTTTATATTCTTCAGATTTGGTGAATTTCGACGGCATTTTTCTTTCTCTCTTCCAATTTCAACTTCAACGACTCTAACTCTTTTGCCCGACTGTTTGCTTTTAAAGTTTGCTTCACTTCTCCAGCATATGCTGTTTTGTTCAACTTGTTGGCCCAATGTTCCATAACTTGGGCCATGAATATCACATTTAGTCCCCACCAATCTGTTGCCTAGACAAATTGGGAGGTTGTGCTTGACGGGTGAGATTTTGTCAAGCGGATCACTGCTCTCAGCCTCACTTTCAGAGGAAGGGGGATCATGATTGGGAGTCGGAGGGGAGATGGGAATGGCACCATGCCATGGCTGGTCCCCCCCGGGTAACTGCCATGCTCGTTTGGAGGGCGTACATCCGCATCTTGAACATTGAATGGGGGACAAGTCACAAATGGCCGCTGAATGTTGCATTTGAGTGAGAATCATTACCTTTTCGAGGTTTTGAAGAAGTTGGCCTAAGTGGCAATTATTATCGGAAGGTGAGTTATGAGGTAGGGGGGAATGATATGAAGGACATTCGGTTAGTTTAGGTGGTGCAGCAATTGATGGGATTGCAAAATGACCATAAGCCCGTTGTGCTTAACTGTACAGCAGTAGAAGTTTTTAAGCGAATTACAGTAACAACAATATAAATTGGATGACAAACGGAAAAAAAAGCTAACTGCATGGGAAATTGGAAATTGTGGATTTGAACCCCCAACTAGGAATATGTAACTACGAAGGTATTGCAAATTTCAAGAAAAGAAACTGGAACATAGCAAAATAGCAAATTAGCAAAAGTGCAAACAATTGGAAAATGGGAAATAAGGAAATTGGCAAAAATGGAAAATAGAATACAAAATGTAAAATTGGAAAAATTTGGAAATTTGGAAAAATTTTGGGAACAAATCGGAAATACGAAAATACGAAAAATACAAAAAAAAGGAAGTTGGAAATTGGGAAAAGGGACATAGGAAAAAAGGGAAAATTAGAAACAGGCAACTAGGAAATAGGATACAAGGAAATTGGAAAATTTGGAAAAAAGCCAAAAAGGACACTCAAAATGGGCATTGGAAAATAAAGACCTGGGAAAAATTGGAAATTTGAACAAAAGGAAAACTTGGAAAAATAGGGAAAAAGGAAAAACAGGAAAACTCTTGAAAACATGAAAAGTCGAAAAAAGGAAAATTCGAAAATTGAAAATAGAAATTGGAAAAAAAGGACACTTGGAAACTATTTTTTTTTTTTTTTTTTTTTTTTTTTTTTTTTTTTTTTTTTTTTTTTTTTTTTTTTTTTTTTTTTTTTTTTTTTTTTTTTTTTTTTTTTTTTTTTTTTTTTTTTTTTTTTTTTTTTTTTTTTTTTTTTTTTTTTTTTTTTTTTTTTTTTTTTTTTTTTTTTTTTTTTTTTTTTTTTTTTTTTTTTTTTTTTTTTTTTTTTTTTTTTTTTTTTTTTTTTTTTTTTTTTTTTTTTTTTTTTTTTTTTTTTTTTTTTTTTTTTTTTTTTTTTTTTTTTTTTTTTTTTTTTTTTTTTTTTTTTTTTTTTTTTTTTTTTTTTTTTTTTTTTTTTTTTTTTTTTTTTTTTTTTTTTTTTTTTTTTTTTTTTTTTTTTTTTTTTTTTTTTTTTTAAGAGAACCCTTTCCGCTAACATAACTGTTGAAAAGGAGCAAAGTATCTCTAAAACATATCCCAACCTGATAATCCGGTGAAACAACCAGCTCCAAGAATCAAGGCATTGCGAACTAGGACGACTTGCTCAGACAAATGAAAATACCCCACTGAGTCATAAAATGACATATTAATGTTAATTCTCTCTAAGTTACATGCCTACACAAAACAGAAAAGGGCCCTTATTTATCCAGGGCAGACGCACTTGATCAACCAACAACCCTTTTCTCTGTTGTTTGTCCATTGCAGTCGTGAATTAGGATTTGTTCCTGGGGGGCTTCCAACATAACTTCGAAGTTTGTCCAGTTGAAACTTCTGACCAACGCGGCCCTGGCAAAGGCAATGAACTGTACGGGCAGACAACTCGTAAATGGGAGAATAAAACAGTCCAGTAAGATCTGCTGATTAAAAACCTCAGCAGAACGAGGATGCTCACATAATGTTCTCGCAGCACAAGCTTCTGCAACCCATCTGAGCCCGTCATGTCCAGACACCTTGATTGTCCGATGCGCGGACATAGAACAACACTGTAGTCGCCCCTTTTCAATATTCTGACAGACACAGGGAAACCAGTAGCAAAGGCCAGAAGAAAAATGTCCTTAAATATTACACATTTTGTTGTTTGTGCAGTTGTGTTTTTCTCTGTTCTCGTGCTGTGTGGCGTATTCATGCACCCAACCCCACACACACATTTTATTTAATATAAAGAGAGAGGAGAGAGCTGTTCCTTTTTCAGACAATACTCTGTTGCCAACTGTGACTTTGGAACATAAGCTGTCGAATGAACCATTAGATGCTATTTTAGTGGTCTCATACCATGAGCCCCAAACCCAGGGTGAGAATTCCTACACTACCATCATCAGGCAGCTATTGCCAACACCTTGGCCTCACTAGCACCTCCATTCGGAGTGCAACCTTGTTGCGGTCAAAGCCTTAATAAACGGTCCTTTGACACTATCAAAGCTGACCTCCTCTCCCAATTATTGAACCAAGGATCAAGTTTTGAAGGAACGTTTGGGCCCCATCTACAAACCTTGGAAAACGTTTATTAAAAGCCTCAGCTCGAAACTCTAAACATTCAGTCCAACTTACTATCCAAAAGCTCAACTATAACATTTTATATTGAGCAAAAACAAGTGCTTCCACATTTCATTGCATTCCTGAATAGACACTTTTTACACCATGAGCTGATAATCTGAATCTTCATACTCAACCTGTATTTTGAACTTAACACTGACACCGCCATACCCGAAATCAAGTGGAAAAAGAAAACACAATAGGGATCTGTATTGCATATTAATGCTCGCCCTATTGTGTGTACTGGAATGTGCCTGTGGATGCATGCACTGTGGTGCCATCCGCGCTCACAAAACAGTCGAATCTTTCTCTATTTCTGTCTCTCTCTTGGCCCCCCGCCAGGGCTTGCAAAATAGTGGCACATTACTCAAGACCCCGATTGCGCGACCGGTGTACCAGGGCATTCATAGATATCCTAACATCACATGAGGTTAATCCAACAGTATGTGGTGCTGTCTTCGGTAAGACACTTTGCGGCTGATACCAGCTGCCCACGATGGTACTTTCGCTTCTTCCGAAATAGCAGATTTGAAAAGAACTCAAAAATTTAATGACACAGAAAGGCATTCAAACAGTTACTTCATCACGCATTATTCGGATGTTCTAAGCTGCTTCACTAATCTATCAACATAAATAAGCTTCTTAGTTTGCGAACTGATCTGGCAAAGAATATTTTCCTATATGTTATTTTCCTTTTTGTATACTGAATTCAGTATTGAGTAAGGGTAAGTCTTCTGTTGTGTAAAAGCTCACCCCATAGCCTTTGCCCGCCAGCACCAGCATGGTTACATCCTGCTTGAACAAGCCTTCGAGAGACATTTCCTATACCTTCAAATATATCATCTTAATGAACCCCCACAAGTTAGTCATATAATGAGACAGGCATGTTTTAATCGACCGAGGTTATAATTGCCTCAAATCAGGATATATCAGCACATAAAATAAATCAATAAGAAACATGAGAGATTTAAATGTAAAAAACTATAACAGTAGAGCTAACCAAGCTATGATTATAGACGTTACAAAAATCAGTTGAACTGCACTAAAATTCACCTATTCCAAGCCACACACTAACCTCAACGTAAAATTCCAAACAGTGTTTCAGATATTGGGCCGTCCCGATGCTTCAGAAGCATCCACCAGCAGCTTTGTGTCTGTTCGTACTCCACTCCAATATCGGAAAGATTGATAACAAAGCAACCAAAACAGATAGCAGAAATCACACAGTCGTGGACTTGCAGAGCCCATTGCTCGTTACCACACCCCATCCCTCCACAGCTAACAAGCATCTACAAACGGAGATCTCAGTTACATTCTTACTCAATTAACAGAAAAAGAACACGGTAACACAAACTGCAAATGTCCTCTAAGTTAATTGAGTAATCGCCAAAATATAGACATCCCATAAACACTTTTTGGTTCATCACACTGATGAATGTGTGGGTATATTATGAAGACCCCAAATAAGTAAGACCACTAAATCACTACAAAGTTGATCACTCTGGATTCTAGGAGCAAGTCTCTATAATTAATTGAATATAAACAGATAACGAGAAAAACCAATTCCACAAAGAATAAAGATACCCATAAAGATGGTGATTTCAGCAATGCTAAGATAAGAGTGCATTATTAAGTCTCATCCATTTAGTATCATAAATTTCAGTTCCGAACCTCGTGAGGTCTTGAGTCTTGAGTCTTGGGTCTTGAGATGCGTCTCTCTCGTCTCTTATTCCGGGCTTTCGCCCTGATTTGTAAGAACTTGAACAATTGTTTTGCCTGATGTTCTTTTCTGTAGAGTATTTTAAATCATATCATTTACTACTAAAAGCCAATTAATTTTCTCTTTTATTTTCTCCCATCCCATAGTTTGCTGTCAAACTTGAACTTTTTTATTTTATTTTAATCATAGTAATGATTTGTTACTTTGTCTTGCACAAATACTACAGAAGATTATGAGTTAATTGGAGTGCTCATTAGGAATAATATGATTTTGTATTATTTTTAATACTTGTAAGAACAATTGACTCGGACTTCTCCAATTGATGTATTAATTCCAGATACAGTGTTATTTTAATCAACCAAGCAAAAGCCATAAATATATGCATTGATCTCGTTCATGCGGTGTGAATGAATTCAATTCAAAGTACACTTACCATACCAACAGTGTGAATGCATTAACGTAGGGCCCACTCGACCATTAAAGTTCTATTCACAAAAGTTAGCCACAGACCCCAAGCTTGGCCCATAAGCCCCGAAATTTCCACAAGTCTTCTTATCCATAATATCTCAGTCTCAAGTAAATTTTGGTCACTTGTATCTTGAAAATTAGTGGCCAACTTAATTTCTAGCAGTAGCAGATGTATGATATGTTGTGGTCTTCTGTATGTGAATGTGTCAAACACGTTACAGGATGTAAAGTATTTAAATAGGAAAGAATCTGATCTCAAGTTGAAAGGATGTGCCAAAAATGAATACATGATCTTGTTAGCATACCAGCAACATCCCACTTCAAAAAGATAAGTCACTTCTGAAAAATAGGGGTATTAAGATTCCAGAACATCAACTGTGACACATTAAAATAACCTCTCTTTTTGTAATTATCCAAAGCCTCCTTAAAATCCCGCACACAATTGTTCTTAGAGGCCTTCTCAAAATCTCTATATGTAACACAAAATCCTTTTGGGAACCTTGGCATTACCCTCTACAATGGCAATCTAAATGATTTTTGAAAATGTGCTTTGGTGGAAATAAAGAGTCCAAGTCTCTAAGTGACGACGTGAAGTTTGGTTAAATGACACCTTTTATTTTCGTTGTTCGATTCATGGTAGTTGTGTGTGTCAATTAGTTTTATTTTATTTTGTTTTTCCTTTAAAAATTTTAAAAAAGAAGTTGTGTCCCATGAATAAGACCCATGTTCTAATTGATTTGAATTTGAATTTTTTAATATGAAAAAAAATTACTATATATCCTTATTTATGAAAGTTTCAATACTCAATAAATTCTTTAATTAAGGACAATATTTACTATTTTGAATGTTTCACTATTATCTACTTGCGCCTTTATTATATATATATATATATATCAATAAATATGTATTTTTGTACGGAATTATGTAGTGGGAATTTTCTTTGGTAAATGATTTGTAACTTGTCTTGTTTGTAAGAACTTGATTTGGGACATCTCCAAATGTTTTGCAGAGTATCTTAGATCAGAAGTTTTGCAGAAAGCCAGTAACTTTGTTTCTTTTCTTTTATGCATCTCATAGATTGCAACCTATGCAAAAGTCACAAATAATCCATGTAGTTTTACCTTGATGGTTAGGGAGACCATCTTTACGGACCGCTTATGCACCATCTCTCTAATAGATGTGAAGCTGAATACAAAATGAAGGACGCTTTGACTTCCTTGCTCCAAAACTTTAGCAATCAGATTCAGCACAAATATACTCCTTCCTACTTAAGAATTTCGTGCTCATCACTATAAATTATATATGAGAAATTTTTAAGAGTAATCATAACACCGCACGTAATATTAATTGTCTTATTTTTAATATGTGATTGGTGGAAGATTTATGCTTTACTATATAAGTATCAATAAATATATATGTACAATAATAATATTGGGTTGGTAGACATATGTTTCAGTTAAGTCAAGGTCTATATTTGCGAGAAGATAATTATAGTTTGTGGCCTTGCCTTGGATGGGAGGCAAATTTAAACGGTTTGAGTGAACACGGAAAGGCACCGTTACCAACCATCTCAAGTCAAGTCAAGTAGAGTCAACAACTGCAAGACAATGGTGAGAAAGAGTTTGGAGTGCGTTGGAAGGCAAATTACCATATCAATTCTCAAGTCTAGTCTAGGTTAACAGTTTGCGTGGGAAGAAAATTAGGAAATATTTGCCCAAAATTCGAGTAGGCTCTATTGTCTTGCCAGAATAAACAAAAAAAAAAAAAAAAAAAACAAAAATAAAAATTCCACTTAGTGCATCCTCAAAAAAATTTCCAATATAAATTAGAAATTGTTGAAATAAGAAGAAAGAAAAAGAAAAGTGATTATCTGATTTGTATACTCTTCAGTGTGCAGCTTGTTTTTGTATATCAAGTCAATCAATATAGTGTGATCCAAACTAATTGAAAACTCCAAATGTATTCAATTACTTAAGTCAAGCCAATCCCTAACCACTTAATAGCATGATGGAAATTACAATTAGTGTCTAACTTAATTTGTAGTGGGGGTTGCAAAACACCCACTAGTGTAGTGGTTTTGGAGCAAATGGTCCCTCTAAGAAAGGTCCTCAATTTGAGTAATTGCATCCATGTAGTGTGTGTGAGTTTAGTATGATATCACCCCTCTTAATAGGAAAGCTCTTCACAAAATAATTCAAATAATAATAAACCTTTTGGAAGGAAAAATTCCACCACCATTGAAAGCTTGGGAAT